GAAGCAAGCCGAGCAAACCCTCAAGGATGAGGGCAAGCATGACATGCTCATGGTGAGGAAGGGTAAGCCATTCAAACGCCCGGGAAAGAAGAAGAGCTTTAAAGGGAAAAAGAGAAATTTTCCGCCTAAGTCAAACACTGCTAAGGGCAGCAAGGACAAAAAGGTAGCCTCTTCCAAATCCGATTTCGAATGTCTTTACTGCAAGAAGAAGGGACATTGGAGACGGGACTACCTCAAATTCAAGGAAGATAAGATGAACGACACAGTTGCTTCTTCACCAGGTATTTTTGTTATAGACTTAAACTTCGCTAGCAAAACATCATGAGTATTAGATACCGGATGTGGCTCACACCTTTGTTCCAATGCTCAGGGACTAAGGATAAATAGGAGGCTAGAGAAGGGAGAGGTCGAGCTTCGGGTCGGCAATGGAGCAAGAATGTCTGCCGTCTCCGTTGGAACTCTCAGTTTGTCATTGCCCTTTGGGCTTATTTTAGAACTTGAAAATTGTTATCATGTTCCTAGAGTTACCAAAAACATTATTTCAATATCGGCGTTGGACGCCAAATGTTTTGAATTTTGAATTAAGAACAATAGTTGTTCATTTTATTTCGATAATGTTTTATATGGTAAGGCATATTCAAAAAATGGTCTTTATGTGCTTTCTCTTGACAAACAAGTCTATAAGATTGATGATACCACTAAAAAGGCTAAGACCATCGAGTCGAATCAAATCTACTTGTGGCATTGTCGTCTTGGCCATATTAACGTCAAACGCATCAAGAAACTTCTACAAGAAGGTGTTCTTGACTCATTCGACTTGGAGTCATTTGAAAATTGCGAAGGATGTCTATATGGCAATATGATAAAACAGCCATTCTCCAAGTTGGGAGAAAGGGCAAGTGACTTATTAGGTCTAATACACACGGATGTATGTGGACCAATGAGTACACCCGCAAGACAAGGTTACCGATATTTCATCACCTTCACCGACGATTTTAGTAGATATGGCTATATCTACTTAATGTCGAATAAATCTGAATCCTTTGAGAAATTCAAAGAATTTCAGAAAGAAGTCGAAAATCAACTTAGCAAGAAAATTAAAGCACTTCGATCGGATCGAGGTGGCGAATATTTAAGCCATGAATTAGACGATCACTTGAAAGAAAATGGTATTCTTTCAGAATTGACACCTCCTGGAACTCCTCAATGGAGCGGAGTATCCGAACCTTGTTAGACATGGTTCGATCAATGATGGGTCTTAGTGAACTTCCTATCTCTTTCTGGGGATATGCGTTACAAACCGCGGCACTAACACTAAACCGAGCTCCGTCAAAAGCTGTTGAAAAAACTCCATATGAATTATGGACTAAGAAACCTCCTAGGTTGTCTTTTCTTAATATTTAGGGATGCGAAGCATATGTCAAACGATTAATTTCCGACAAACTTCACCCCAAATCGGATAAGTGTTTCTTTGTGGGATACCCAAAAGAAACCAAAGGGTATTACTTCTACAATAAATCCAAGAACACAATGTTTGTTGCTCGTGATGGTGTCTTTTTGGAGAAGGAACACCTTTCCAAAATGACAAGTGGGAGGAAAATCGAACTCGACGAAGTTCGAGAGGACGAGCAACAATGTCAACCTGATAAAACTGAAAATCTAAGTGCTTTGGAAGCAGCTGAGAAGATTGGTCATAATCAAATAGACAATGTAAATGCTCAACCCATTACCCTTCGTAGGTCGCAACGGCCAAGATCTCAACCAGACAGATACCTTGGTATTGTCTTAACCGATGATCAGGACATCCTAGTTATGGATGGTGATGAGCTAGCGACGTACAAGCAAGCTATGACGAGCCCCGACTCTGCTAAATGGCAAGAGGCAATGAAATCCGAGATGGACTCCATGTCTGAAAATCAAGTCTGGGACTTGGTGAATTTGCCCGAGGGTTACACACCCATTGGTTGCAAATGGATCTTCAAATTGAAGACAGACAAGGATGGAAATGTATCGATTTACAAGGCTAGACTAGTGGCGAAAGGTTATAGACAAATTCACGGGATTGACTATGATGAAACCTTTTCACCGGTTGCAATGCTAAAGTCTGTCCGGATTATCCTAGCGATTGCTGCATATTACAATTATGAAATATGGCAAATGGAAGTCAAAACCGCCTTCCGAAATGGGATTTTGGAAGAAACTGTGTACATGACACAACCAGAAGGTTTTGTTGATCCAAGAAACGCTGGAAAGGTATGCAAGCTTAAGAAGTCCATTTATGGACTAAAGCAAGCTAGCAGAAGTTGGAATCTGCGATTTGATGAAGCCATCAGCAAGTTTGGTTTTATCAAGAATCTAGATGAATCTTGTGTCTACAAGAAGGTCAGTGGGAGTGACATCGCATTCCTAGTCCTATATGTCGATGACATACTGCTCATTGGAAACAACACAAAATTACTAAAGTCCGTAAAAGGGCTGGTTGGGAAAGGGCTTTTCATTGAAGGACTTAGGCACTCAAGATCTATAGGGATAGATCTAAGAGGATGATTGGATTGAGCCAAAGTACTTACATTGATAAGGTACTGACACGATTCCACATGGAGAATTCCAAGAGAGGGCATTTGCCCATGTCCCATGGCGTAACTCTCAGCAAGAAACAGTGTCCACAGACGCCTGTTGAGCGAGAGAGAATGAATCAGATCCCATATGCTTCGCTAATTGGATCGATCATGTATTCCATGATATGTACCAGGCCAGATGTATCGTATGCCTTGAGTGCTACGAGCCGATACCAATCGGACCCAAGAGAGGCGCATTGGACTGCGGCCAAGAATATCCTGAAGTACCTGAAAAGGAACAAGGATAAATTCCTGGTCTATGGTGGCCACAAAGACCTGGTTGTTAAAGGTTACACCGACGCTAGCTTCCAGACTGACAGAGACGACTTCAAGTCACAGTTAGGGTACATATTTTGCCTAAATGGAGGAGCATTTAGCTAGAAGAGTGCCAAGCAGAGCACAACTGCAGACTCTACAACTGAAGCCGAATACTTGGCTACTTCAGAAGCTACTAAGGAGGCTGTTTGGATTCGCAAGTTCATCAGTGAACTTGGTGTTGTACCCTCCATCAAGGGTCCGATAGATCTCTACTGTGACAACAATGGAGCTATAGCTCGGGCTAGAGAGCCAAGAGAGCACCAGAAGGTCAAACATGTCCAAAGGCGATTTCACATGATAAGGGAATGGAAATCCGAAGGTGAAATCAGAATTTGCAAGATCGGCACGGATGATAATGTGGCTGATCCTTTGACTAAACCTCTACCTCAAGTGAAACACAACAAGCATATTGAGGCAATGGGAATCAAGCACGTCGGAGACTGGCTTTGAAGTTCCCTGTACATGTATTTTAATTAAACTAGATGTTTTAATGTAAGACACTGTATTGAAACCATTCATTTATGGAGTAATTAATTTTTATGCAAAAATTACCATTCACTCCATTGCTATTTAATTGTGGTTTAGAATTAAATAATGAGTCCATTCGATTTATAGAAATATTCAAAACATGGTATCAAGACCATGTCTTGGATAAAGAAACACCTGTTAAGTGAACATTGAATATTTAAATCGAAAATTATCCCTAATCAAGGTCATCTAAATGATGGACGATTGATGACCACCAGAGATTAGTGTGTAGTATGATTTACAGCACCGTTTCTTGTGCTGCGAGGACATGATGGTCATAAATCATTTGCATAGGTGCCAGTTTGGAACTGCACTAGATAGACCTATGAGAGTACTTTAAGAGATTCAAAATTGTCATAAGTACATTTCTCATTATAGCCATCGGAATTCGTTTCCTCGACCATGAGCATTGTGAAGTTTTCTTGTTTGAGTACTAGTCTCTTTGATGTTGCCTAACGTCTGCCGTAACAGGGGATCATAACGGGAACACTCAGGAGATTAGGTCCTCTTAGTAAGAGAAACTCATGATGCAAGACTGGGAATGTCCCCCTATTAACAATAGGAAACATTTTTTTGTTGTTTATAAGGCCGCTCGAAGAGCGAGACTGTGAAAATGCATGGTCGTGCTCAGATGAGATTTAGAAATCATCTGCTTATTGACAGTCAAACTCGGAGATCGAGAAACCCTTCTGAACGTAATAAGGATGACGATGAATCTTACCTTATAGTTCACGAAGAGACATTAAGCGACATAGGAAATGGGCTATACATTGTATGCACACTTGTCCAGAAGGACAAGTTGGAGATTGAAAGGAATGGTGTCCTCCCAACAAGTGTATTATTCTGATAAAGGGTTCAAAATTATTACAGAGCTAATTCTTCAGTAAGGTCAAGTGATCGGAATGCCTAGATGGAGGTCGCTTCCGATTAGTAATATTAAGGTATAATTAATATTACAACTTAATCTTAACTGAACCCTTCGGGTCGAACCCAATCGAACAACCGATCCGATACGACGAATTAATCCGAAGGATTTAATGAGTCGTCGGAGTTTTACGAACACAGACGTCGGATATCGAGCCTAGGGCGTCGAGACCGAGCGTCGCAAAATCACAAGCAACAAGTACGAGCATAGCTGTAGCATCACATTGGCCTAGTCATGTGAAGTGCTATGCTAGGCTAGCTCATCGCAAGCCTAGGCGCACCATGTGTGTGCTAGGCGCGCCCTAGGTGTTATCGCAGCCCATCACACAAGAACAACATTATCGCATGGCTAGGCCTATGCGTGTGTGCGTATGCATGTGCCTAGGGCTATCGCACCATCGCAGCACCATCGCATGGCTAGGCCTATGCGTGTGTGCGTGTGCATGTGCCTATGGGCTGTCACACCATTGCAACACACTACATAGCACCATCGCAGTGCTGGGCACTTGCGTGTGCGTGTGTGCCTAGAACTATCGCCAAGCATCAAGCCATCCAGCATGCGTGGCTCGCTAGCAGCACGCATGCTGGGCCTTGCGTGCGTGTGCGTGTACGATGGCTGGGCAGCAGCGCCTAACAAGCAGCAGCAGCGTAGGCACTGCCCAGCACAGCCACACACATCATGCTTGTGCTAGCTGGGCTGGTGCTAGCTGCCTGGGCTTGCTGGCACTGCTAGCTGGCTGCCAGCCCAACAACCCCTTGATGCCGGTTTTATGTGGGGGTGGGGGACTAACCCTTGGGCAAAGCCTTGGGGAGCAAGGCAATGGTCCCCTCACCTACTCTTGGTCCTCACCTAACTCTCTCTCTCCCCTTGACACTTGTTACATAGTGATTGCCTTGATTAATTATTTAATTTAGAATTAAATAAATTATCAAAATTGCACATGATCCCACATTGATCATGAATAAGGGTTTCAAGTCCCTTTTCCCTATAAATACCAAGGGTATGGCATTTGGGAAAGAAAACACTTGAGTGGAATAGTAAAGGAAACTCCATTGTTGAGTATACCTTGAAATTCGTAAAACTCCAAGTTTATATTTTGTCCGTAGGACGATCGGGTCGGGTTCGAGGGTACTATCCCGTTGGAGGCCTCGCATAATCGAGGTTGAAGTAAGAGCTCGTTGTAAGAGTGAAGCACGCGTCGAGGGTATATTTCTTATCCTTACTCTTAATTATGTTTTGCTTGTATTAGTTGCATTAATTATGGGGGCGGGTCTTGGGGGGTTTCCTTCCGCGTAGTGAGGGTCACTACAAAACCTTACATTTGGCATTTAGCTCCAAATTCTTGGTTCAACATCCTTGGCTATGTAGCCGGATGTGAAATGCATGGGGTGGACCCTAATTTTGAGGCGTTCACCCATATGAATTATTTAAGTTGGACCCCCAAAGCAAGCGGTACTGGTTGGTACCAAATAACAAGCCACAAGGGTTATTTGATGACTAGGGGGAAGGAAAATAAGTGGAAAGATTGGAGAAACACTTTCCTCCTCGTCTCCAGTCCCCATAAACTTCTAAACAAGCGATACAACAGGTAGAATAGGGATCCGCCTCTTCTAGCAGGCGGCCCTAGCATGTCGCTTGTTCCTCGTCAAGCAAGGGAAGAGATCCTTGACCGAGGACTCTTCAAAGTAGAGATTAGGGCCAACTCTACTACAGGGGTACGGGAGCAGGTGCCTTTGAGTTGCGTCCCCAAATTTAAATGTCTTTACGACGAGTATTTTCAAGCCGCCTGTGGCCTAAGCAGTCGGGCCTCCAGAGGTAGCCGGCCCCTTGTGCTTCTATATGCATCTTTTGATTTATTTTATGTTTTTCTAACTTTTTGCTGTGCGTATTTGCAGCCGATGCTATGGACCAAATTTCCGCATCCAAGAAGGCGGCCGCCCTTCTGCGGTCTTCCATTATGAGCCTCAAGCGGCCATCAATTGATTCTCCTGCCAAGGAGACGCCCAAGGTGAGTTCTGATCTTTTGAGTTTTTCTTTTAAATCCTCTTTTTGCCAGTATTAACTTTATGTGTTTTTGTAGGCGGGCTCATCCAAACCCTCTTCCTCCCAGCAGCCGGACTCAAAGGTTCGGAAACAGACAGCTGGGAGTACGCCTGGTTTTGACAGGAAACAGGCGGTTGAAAAACAGCCGTGCATCCCACAAAGTGGGGGAAAACAAACGCAAGTCCCAAGGGACAGCCGGCCTCCAAGAGGTATAACCGGCTCCCTCAGCCCTTGTTTAATTTTTCTTCCTTTGATATTCTTTCTTTTGTTCTAACTTATTGTTTTTTAATACAGGCGGCCATCAAGAACCAGACTTGGTCAACATGGCCAAGTATGTGGTGAAAGCCATCCCTCTAGAGGAGAGGGATGCGGTCAGGGGAGTCGGCACACTTGACCTCGACGGAATCATGGGTCTCCTCTCCGAGGAAGACTTAGCATTTTTGTAATGTTGAATGACTTTGCCTGCCGCCTGTTTTTGCAAATCTGACGCCTGATGTTCTTTTTCAGACTATGCTTCGTGTACACGGCCTCCATAGGTCGATTAGTGCCAAAAACAAAGAGGTAAAAGCTACCAAAGCCATGGCCGCCTATGACTTTGACAAGGCAATGTTTCATATTGCCCAAAATGAAATTTTGACAACTGATATTCTTTATTATCAGGCGGCTGCCACTTCGGAGATCAAAGACAAGTTGGAGGCGGCCAATAAACAGAACCAAGAGCTGGAGAAGACGGTCAAAAGCCTCCGAGACGAGTTGCAGCCACTTAAGAACATTGCCCATAAGGCTGAAAGTCTCCAGAAGTCTTTGGACAAGGTTAAGGAGCGCCTAGAGAAGCAGGAGGTGGCCATCATTGAAGAGCTCAAGGCCAAGGCTGAGACCGAGAAGCTGGCTTTGGCTCAGGCCATGATGGAGGACTCGACTAATATAATGAAGATGACCTGGTCGACCCTCTTCCCAAAAGGTGACTATGCCCAATGGGATTCCAAGTTCACCGCCTGTACTGAAGAGTACAACAGAAGGATCATGAAGCAGGAGGCTGACGAGGATGAAAAAGAGGAGGAGGTGGCCAGCTCCAGCTTAGGCGAGGAGGAAGAGGAGATGGTAGACCAGCCAACGGAGGCGGATGCTCCTAAGGGTCTTGTCCCTAAAAACGAGTCAAACAAAGAGGATTCCTTGAAGGATCCGGCGCCCATAATTGAGCTCGATCTGACGACAGTTGACTCCGAAGCACCTCCTACTGTTTAAAGCTTTTATTTTTCAAACTTGTCTTCGTCCTGTGTACCGTTTGTTCTTGTATCAACTTTACGCGGCCAGGGGGCCAGGGTTTATGACTATTTTGCCAGTCTTTATGGCTGACTATTAATACTAATTTGGCGACGGTTCGGTCGTCTTTGGTTAATGATTCTCCACCTTGTTTATGCTTATTTTTGTCGCCTGCCCGGCCGAGAAATATCCCCAAGGCCACCAGACAACTTGTTAATTTCTAGACCTCTCGGACAATGCGGGGCGACTACATGTCTATGACCGCCTGCACCTTCTCGAGGTTAGCCTCTATACCCCTTTGATTGATAAGAAATCCGAGGAACTTCCCAGACTCAACTCCAAACACACACTTCTTGGGATTGAGCATGACTTGGTGCCGCCTAAGTGTGGTGAATGTTTCTCGGAGATCGGCCAAATGGTCCGTCTGCCTGATGCTTCTGAGAAGGTGAACGAGAGGAGGCTCCGGGCGTCTGGCTCTCATGATTTGACTTAGAATACCTCAGGGAGGTATTATGTAGGTTGTCTTGGAAATCAGAAGTAGAGGCCGACTCTGACAGTCGGTCATTCTTCTTCTGCTCAAGCAACTTTCGAGCATCAGAGTATGTTCTCTTTGACCCGTCCGGCTGAACATAACGGATGGGCTTTCTCTTCCCTTGGGAGGGAAAGTGGTTCTTATTTAGGTCGATCACTGGTTCCTCCCTTGCCCTAGTCTTAGGGTAAGGAGTCGCCTCCCGATCCTTTACAAGCTTCTTCCTCCCAGATTGGGAGGGTCTTCTGGCCGACTGTTCCTTTGGTGGAACAGTCGTCCTTTTGTTGATTAGATCTTGGATCTCCCCCTTGAAACTATTCATGAAGGTCATGAGTTCGTTTCTAGTGATGGGGGCAGACCCCTCGGCCGCCTGTTAATGATCAAGCGGCTGGCCAGCTGGTTTACTAGATCCAGCCAGGCAGTCCTCTCGTTCCTTCCTTTTGGAGGGACGGGTGCGTCGAGCTCTTAAGGTCCCATCAGAGGCCGTATGAGTCTCGACTTCAATTTCATTGTCAGTGCCCTGGTCCGTCTGAACCAGGGGATCGTCCATGGGACGCTTGTCACTTAGAATCGGTACAGACTGTGATTCCATCTCGAAAGTAATCTCCCAACAGACGGAGACAAAATGTTTCGGGGTTTTTTTTTATATCCTGCGGGAGAGTTACAATTCCGGGATTGGTATCCTTGCGCCTGTACCTGCAAAAACAACGGAGACTCCAGGTGGTGGGAGCTTTGCCTCCGACGGTCAAGTTAGTATTTGTATGTGGAGTAAAAAGGTGCGGAAAGTAAAGGGTGATCTGGTTCCTCTAGGGGAGGAGTGATCAGGAAGTGCAATTAATTGCTAAGCCAAGTCGAGCAATCAGAAAGCACGTGTGTTTTGGCTCCTCTCCGTGAGAGTAATTAATTCTGAATCCCCTTTTACTGAGGATTAATGAATATATTTATAGTCTTGGAAAGCGTGCCCAATACTAGGTTTAGGTCAACCTAGGGCTTATTGGACCTTGGCCCGGAAACCGGGCCTAGGAGGCCGTTTTCCAGGTTGGCAGATAGCACGCCACGTGGTGTGGCGCGATTGGTCCATGCTGGACTGATTGCTGCTTGACACGTGTCAGGTCCTTGCTGGTCTATGTGGCGGACACAGGGCAGGACCTGATTGGTCTACGTGGCAGACTGTGATTGGCGAAAATCCCCTAATCACAAACCAATGAATTTATTTTTCATTTCAATTTTTAAATATTATTTTACAATTATCATATCTTTAATTTATAATACATCATTTTATATCTATCATATCTTTTGAATTCCGTATTTTTTATCAAAATTTGACAACAATATACATGTTTATTTAATTTTTTATTTATAAAAAATAAATTATAATAATAAATTAATAATTGTTATTGAAAATAATAATCGACACTGGAACTGACATAATTAAATAAAAACAATGGGACAGACTGGACACTAGATGGTAAAAATCATCGGTCAAATGATATAAGACGTGAATTGCTTCACTTGTAAAGAACATAATTGAATAGACTAGCTATATATCTCTTTGGCTATGTTGGTTGTACTCCAAGCTATGGAGCTACCATAAATTGAAATGAAGGATTTTCTATACTAAATATTTCACTCCATTAGAATATACAGTACTTGGTATATTATCGAAACTTTACATGTCTACGTTTCTAAAAATAACAAAGTAGATTGCCCATCTACCACATGTATATGTTGATCACAATAATTAGGTATACCACAAGGTTGGCATATCTTCTTGTGAAGCTATTTACAATCGGGATATATGTGAAAACGAACTTGGCAAGGAGAGGTGCTCATGCATGCGTAATTAACTACTTGGTTTTTGATCCTCAAAGTTAGTTGATTACAATGTAATTAATAAATAAAGAGATAGGGAGAGAGGGTATGTCTATATCTCAATCCACACATTGCATATATGATCTGAAGTAATGTGGACATGTGGTGTACGTATGTAAAGGGAGAGAAATAGAGGAATTCTAAATGGAGGTCTATACTCTACTTTTTAATGTATAACAAGGGGTATTAAGGGACATGTGGTGTACATATGTAAAGAGAGAGGATTCGAGGAATTCCAACTTTTGTACTTTTACGATACTTTTAAATGGAAAATGACAATAATAATAATACTAATAATGACAGGATAAGTATTATCAAGACAATATTTAAATTAGTACTGACAATATAGATTGTAGCGTTTAATCAACACAAATTCACTTTTATGGTACTATTTATCACTACTCTACTACTTGTATATCATAATGAATCATTTTTTCAAGTTTAATGCCCACCATGTTTCGCAATAATAACTGTTTAATTAGAAAGTTTTGACCAATACCTGAACTTAGTTGACAATGGAACCTCCGGTGTTCTTCGGCTTCCGGCTTTATACCAAGGTAGCTAACCCCAACCTTGCCTTCCTTAGATCAGGCTCAACACAGATCTAATTCGTTTCCTACCTTAGATTGTAATCTCTAATCAAACAATTCTTATTGTGTTTATGATGGAACTTCTTAAACAGAAAGATAACCCATTTGATATATAAGGTTCAAGGCGATAACGTTCCCTTCTTGAACGAAACTTTTATTTTATTTGAAAAGATTACAACACTCATATTTCACAGTACACTAATTGAAAGCTTAAACAGACATAAGCTGAACTAGAGTTTTCTCTACTATAAGAGAGATGGAGAACCAATCTGTCTTTTAAGGTGAGTATTTTTCTCTAGAAGACTCTCTAATGTTTTCAGAGAAATGATCAAGCTTACTCTTCCAACTTTGCCTTCACTTCTTGGCCTAAGTCCCTTTATATAGGGAAGCTAAAGTTACATAGGATTCTTATCCTGACTCAGCAAGCAATTCTACACCATTGCTTTTTACAAAGATACTTTAAAACAGAAACAATTAACCAAACGTGGCTATAGTGAAAGTTCATTGCATTATTGCTGGTGTGGGCTTAGACATCCATTATCTCATCCATCATCATGTCTTGTAGGCCACCCTCACTATCTTTGCTATCTTCATAATGGACATAAATAGGGTTATCTTCTTCTACGCCAAGGTCTATAACACATTTAGCAACATCTGATTCATCCCATGTCATGAATGCTTCAAACAGATATCCATAGCCTTCAAACGTTAGAAACTTTCCACTTTCAACATCTTCTAAATATTTGTAGATAGACTCAGTATTGTTTATGCCATCTACTAAATATTCTTTCATCTCGTTTGGTGCTACAACTGTGGTATTACCAAGATGAAATATAACAGGAGAATTTTCGATTCTTTTTATGAAATCGCTGAGATATTGTGAGATGTGAAAAATTCCCAATGATCTTGCGTCAGTAGGATTTTTAACAGTTTTCTGAAGAATTGGTATGGGATCTCAACTACTAAATGCCAATCTCCCAAACATTATCAAGTAATGAGGCAGACTGATTTTTCCTTCTACAACTTCAATATTCGCACATTACACCCTTACTTCTAGCTGAAAATCTTCTTTTTTGTCATCACAAAACCTTCGGACCTTATTGAATGCATATTGTTGGAACTTTGTAGGCTTTGGAAAGAATGAAACATTAGGAGTAGGGAAATCATGAAAGGCATGTACCATTCCATAATACCAAACTTTGTGATGTATGTTAATAAATGGAGCATCCAGATTAAGTGGATACGGATTAATGCGTAATGATGCTACTATAGAGTTTTTAGGAAACTCCACTCTTTCTCCCCATAGGACTCTAACATTAAAGAATCGACATGACCTTGTTACTACTAGCTCGTACCATGCTCTGAAAACGTTATCTTTTATTTTATTAAGTATTATATTTTGTATATCAGGGATGAGTTGAAATAACATGATTGTTACTTCAAACATCAATAGCCTTTGGACTACTCGATGGCAACCCTTGATTAAATCATCTCGTGATCTTTGTTTTGCTGAAATGATCGAGCCTTCCATTAAGCCCAACTGGAGGGTGAAACCCGCTTCATTGTTTTTTCTGTTTCATCAATGAGAGTTTTCCTCTCTGCATCCACCTTTTGAAGTTGGTGTGCAGGGGTTTTGTGTTGTCTTGAGCTTCTTCGACATTGGCTAACTCTCTAGTCAAGCTGTCTGCCAGAGAATTCTTTGATCCCTGAATATGTTCAACAGTAAACAAAAATTAGTTAAGCCATAATTGCCAACGCAGGAATCTCCCTTGCGCTTGCATATTAGGCATTCTTTTTAACAAAACCAAGTATGCCTTTGCAATCTGTTCTTATCAAGAACTGTTTAGGGGCTAAGAAGATTAAGAACTTCTCGATCCCTCTAATGACTGCAAGGATTTCTTTTTGCATTGTAGGATATTAACTCAGCTTTATTAAAACTTCCACTGTTGTATCTGCAGAGTCTTTCTCCTTCTTTGATTTTTAACACAACA